AAATCCAGGTCTCCCTCAGTACACCTCATGGGAGAAACCAAATTTCATCTGGAACCCTAGATGAGAGGGAGTCTGGGAAATAAATTTTTGAGCTTTCTAGACTCTTTGGAAAATGAGGGCTTGCTTGGAAAAGGTGGATGTAGATATTGTGTTAATAGAGCCTTGCTACGGTGTCTACCACAGACTGTTTCTCGGGTGCAGCTGAGACATACGAAAACGGGAAAGAACTAGCTATATGACGATGTGAGGGCTGTATTCCAGGCAGAGGAGGAGAAACAAGGAAACCCAGAAGTAAGGGGGTGTTAATTAACCTTGAAAACAGATGGCCACGATACAGACACCTCCCTACCCCTACATTAAAATAAAAAAAATAGATGGCAATTTCTGGAAGCTCAATTTTCATTTAGGGTGTTACTGCAGTAAGTACAGAGGTCTCTCCCTCCTCTGCTCTTATGGTGGAGGCTAGGATCCTGTGTGTGAGCATTCTTAGAGGAGGAACGGCTCTTCCCTCCTCTGTGAGGAATCAAGCATGAAGAGCATAGTATAACCATAACAGCTACGGTGCAGCATCTATCTAAATGGTTAGAGAACTGGAGACAGAGCCTGGACCTATACAAGAATGTCACTGGCAAGATTTAGTGTCACTCACAGGGGGGCCTTGGGTTCCAAAGTGAAAAGGCAGTAAGAAATCCTAGTTGTATGGTCACAGAGATAAATTAAACCTTAGCGACGATCTGATCCAGCCCCCTCATTTTACAGGTGAGAAAACAGGCAAAAGTTGAATGGCCTGTTCAGGGTGAGTCAGTGGGACATCGGGACCAGATGTCCCTAACAGCAGACATTGCTTCACCAGGTGCTTCACCTTGCTTTTAGATTTCTCTTTTTATGATCATTACCAGTTCAGCCACTCAGTCGTGTCTGACTCTTTGCGACCCACAAACCGCAGCCCACCAGGCCTCCCTGTCCATCACCAACTCCCAGAATTTATCCAAACCCATGTCCATTGAGTTGGTGATGCCACCCAACCATCTCATCCTCTGTTGTCCCCTTCTCCTCCCGCCTTCAATCCTTTCCAGCATCAGGGTCTTTTCAAATGAGTCAACTCTTCGTATCATTATGCCAAAATGCAAATGTGGTGGCTGATCGGGGATGTTGCTGGCTCACAATCAATTTATTATGTAGTTCTTTATCAGTTGGATGGTATTCACAACAACTGTTTTTTTTTTTAATATTTATTTATTTTTGGCTGCATTGGGTCTTAGTTGTGGCATGTGAACCTTTCGTATACAGGCTCCGTAGTTGTGGTGCACAGGCTTTAGCTTAGTTTCCTGAACAGGGATTGAACCTGAGTCCCCTGCAGTGGAAGGTGAATTTTTAGCCACTGGACCACCAGGGAAGTCCCTTTAAATAAAGTGTTTGTTCATGGCTGGGCTGGGCCTTCCGCATGCCGGCTCTCTCCACTGCAGTGCATGGGGCTGCTCCCGGCGGTGGTCCTCTTGCTGCGGAGCGCTGGCTCAGGCGGCTGTGGCACGTGGAATCCTCTCCCACCAGGACCAAACCTGTGTCTTCTGCATTGGCAGACAATTCTTAACCGCTGGACCACCAGGGTCGTCCAGAACAATTGGTTTTGATTAAAGATCACTGAGCAATGTGTCCAGTTTCACCCTTAATGAATTTCACTTCCAGAGTTATTTGTCTTTGTTTTTAATTTTTGCAAAAATGGTGAAAAGCGATCAAGGCCTTAGAAAAAGGAGTCATAATAAAAAAGGGACTTAAAATGAATTTCCTCTAAAGAGTCATACAAGGAATAATTTCTTTATTAATAGTTTATTACTAGTGTCTTTATTAGTTTGAGTGGCAGATGTAATTAAAGGACTCAGAAGAAAAGTGACATTATATTACTAAACTGTTTGCCAGGTTAAATATTTAATCCAAGGAGCTTTGTATATTTTTTTTACATTCAGTATTTGGTTAATTTGACAGGGATTAGAATGCCCAACTCAGAAAGGCTTAACTCTATCCAAATTAAGCAGGCAAATACCTAATTGCTTTTGCCTAAGAATTCACAAACACTGTGCTCTCACATGTGAGAATAAGCAGTATGGAAGTGTTGTTATGGTTTAGTCACTAAGTCTTGTCCTACTCTTTTGCAACCCCGTGGACTGTAGCCCACCAGGCTCCTCTTGTCCATGGGATTTTCCAGACAAGAATACTTGAGTGGGTTGCCATTTCCTTCTCCAGGGGACTTTCCCAATCCAGGGATCGAACCCGTGTCTCCTGCATTGCAGGCAGATTCTTTATCACTGAGCTACCAGGGAAGACCTTTGAACAGTGTTAGGTGGTATCATAGTTCCAGAAGTTTTGAACTGGGTTATTCATTTATAATACATACACATACTTATAGCACTGTATTGCTTTACAGAATCTATAAAATGTTATTTCTGTTAAATCTTCAATGTCATAAGTTATATTATCCCCCAAAGATTTCACTTTGCAAATTCTGACAAATCAAACCATCCCTGAAAGGCAGAAGCTATGAAAACCCAGAATTGTATATACATAACCTCTCCCAGACACACCACATTTTTCCCCCTGCTTATTAGTAAGATGTAGAATATTATATTTTATAAATGGTAAGTTAGAATGACAAGCAGTATGTTTTATTTCAAATAAAGTAGTATGTTTTATTCAAATCCCCTGTATCCCAAGCCCTTTCAGGGCAAACAAAATTGAATTCTCTTGTGATGGTCAGAGAAGCAATTTATGAGAGCTTTAATGATGTATGACTTTCTCATGACTTATTAGCAATCATTCCCAAGAATCCGGAACCTCTGTATCACTGACCACAAGGTCCTGAAGGAAAATGTCTGCACATCCCCCTTAGGTCAGCTCGAAAGGCTGAGTCATGGTGTGACGAGGCTGATCAAGCAGAAGAAAAGAGTCTTCTCTGGGAGGAGAGTGGTCAGGAATTAGTGCTGTGTAACGGAGCAAGGCACCAGGCATGTAGGCTGTCCTCATCCCGTGGTGTTTAGAATATCCTTTGTGGAAGGAGAGAGAGACAACTTCCTGCTCTAAGAATAATGAAGCCCTAAGGAATGAACATCTGTTCTCTTATGCAATGTTTAAGAGAAGCAGCTGTTATCTGCTTTGAGTTAAAGGTAGGTTTGCTCCCACCTCCACACTTCCGAGCTCCATTCCAGTGCCTGCTCGGTCTGTGATGCTGAAGGCTGCTGTAGATACCGCAGCCATTTACCCAGACATTTGTCTTCCTCCCTTCCCCTCCTCAGCCCATGCCTTAGCCCGTGCCGTTGGCTGGCCAGAGGGCTTATTTTCTTGTGAAATTTGGGCTTGGGGAAAGAGACTTAGTTTGGAGTATGAGGAGGGTGACATTCTTTTAAAGTTGAAACACGTCTGGTATGCGTAAGTAAAAGGTGCCAGTCAAGATGCACAGCGAATGTGCATGTACCTGCAGCTTGGTAGTGGAAAGCTCTAGGTTGCTCCATAAGGTTTTATAACTCTGTGTGTGACCTTTTCACTTCACAAAAAGACGGAGTGAGAGCAAAGAAGTCATGTGGCAGATACTCAGAGGAAACTTCAGGGGGTTAGAGAAGAGCAAGGAAAAAACATCAGCAGGAACCTGGCTGAGATTTCTCTATTTTCTCCCTCTGCCCCACACCAAGTTAAAGCCTCTTTTTATCAGATGAATTTCAGCCAGATGTGGCTAAGGCCGCTAAAGTGCTGGCAGAATAAATAGTCAAGAGGGTTGAGGAGTGAGGTTCTTGTAAGTTTTCATGCTGGTGGGGGCCTGGCAGAGAATCTGGGAGTGAAACCTGCTCAGTCTGAGGGGGCCAGCAGGTGTGGGGTGGGGGTGTGGGGGAGGAGAGCTGGCTGTGGCTTCATGGGAATTGAAGCTCAACGTGGCCTGATTTTTCAGGAAAGACCAGAAATACTGCTTTATTGTTAAAATCTCCCAATTTTTAAATAGTATAACAAATAATGGTGATTTTTAAAAATATTCAGTACCAAACAAAACAGGTTGGAATGAATGCATCTGCTAGTTTTCTAACTCAAAATTAATGGACTTCACCTTTCTAGGAGGATTTGGGACCTTAAAACCAGACCTTATAACTTGTAACTCAAATTAAGTGAAGAGAATGAGATTTTTTCCCCCCTCCCATTCATTTAATAAGTATTCATATTAACAAATATCAGAACTATATCCATCAGTGGACACAATGGATACAAAGATGTGTAAGATTCAGCCCCACCTGTCAGTCCAGTGTGGTTAGGAGCAGATAAACAAGAAAGTACATTGAAATGAATTTTGTGTGATTAAACAGGTATTCCCACAGTGGGCTTGGCTCTGAAGGGCATTTATTAATAACTTTAATTTGGATGGGAACTGTGTCTTAAGTCCTTTAGTTAAAGAAAGTAGGAGAAGCAGGAGGTAAAAGGAACATTGATTTTTTTAAAAAGAGCAAGGTGTGTATTTGAAGAAATTGCAAGTGTTTACTACCACTAGATGATTAAAAATCAAACCAAGGATGGAGCTAGAGTATCCATTTCATAAGGTTGTCTTGAGAATTAAACATAAAATGCCTAGAACGTCATCATTATCCTGCTCACTACTTATTCTCAGTCCATAGTACTGGGATGGGAGCAGAGTAAGTACTCAGTAAATACCTGTTGAGTGAATCGACACTGAGGAAATATAAGGCGGTCGGGTCACTGGACTCCTTAGATCCGCCTAGTGTTCCAGATACAGTTACCCTCTCTCCACCTGGCCTTACTTGGAAACATATCACTTACCCACAAAGGGCTCAGTTTAAAAAAAAAGAAAAAAGGAACAACTTGTATAGTAAAATATTTCTAGCGTATGACATTAAAAAGAAAAAATTAAGTCCAACGTGCCATTTCCGAAAGCAAAGCAAGAAAACTCGGTCATTTGTGCTGCTCTGATTAACAGCTTCACTTCGTTGCTTCCTCTTGCTTTTCCCAAGGCTGCTGTGGTGCCATCTGCCCAGACCCTTAAAATCACCGACTTCGGCTTCAGCGACTTCGAGCTGTCCGACCTGGACACAGCGCTGTGCACAATCCGGATGTTCACGGACCTCAACCTCGTGCAGAGCTTCCAGATGAAACATGAGGTGGGGACGTAGCGGTGTGCTCTGGAAATGGGGTGTGTGTGTGTAAGAGGGTTAGTTTCTGGCACTAGCATGGAATGAAGTTTCAGTATGAAATGAAGATGAACGAAGTATGAATGAAGATTCATATACTGTCACCTAATACAGACCCAGGATGTTTGAAGGGAAATCGTCAACCACTGGGAGGACATGTACTGCGTCCCCCACACGTCTGGAGCAGCAGGTTGCAGAACAGGGCAGGGTGTCCCCGGCCAAGAGCACGGTGACAGGGGTGGGGCGGGAGCGCTGCGCTGGGTGACGGTGCCGGGAGAGCAGCTGCAGGGGAAGGAGAGAAGCCGGCCGCCTGGGTCCTCGTTCGCTGCTTAGAGGAGTTTGGATTTTATTCTGAAAACAATGGTGAGTCACTGAGGAATGTTATGCAGGGAAGTAATATGATCTGGTTGCAGAGGTTATGATAACACAGTAGAAAGAAGGACCCAAACAGAGTGAACGCCTTTGGAAAGGAGGGAGCCGAGGGACTGATGTGAAGCCAAGCTCTTGGTTCAAACAGGGTCACACATGTGGAGTGAAGATGAAGACTGGTTTTAACTCCAGCCAATTACCTTACTTGCCTCTCAAAAACAGCAAGACTGAGATCAGTCCCTTCTCATACCAGTTGGGGGGATATCAGGGAATTCTAGTTTGTTTCATAATGCCTGTGTTATTGTATCAAAGAATAAGGGAGAACAGAAAGGCCTATATGAAAAAGAAATTTAGTAATTTGCCTTTAAAGCCGTCTTTTTTTTTTCCCAATCAGTTGAATGTCTAGTCTCCTTGTATGGATTTCCTATATGGATATGTAAATACCTTGAAGGCCTGCACTATCCAGCACTCCATTAATTCATAAAATGAGAATTTACTAACAATAAACCATGTGCCCAGCATTGTGCTAGGGATGCACTTTAGTGATGAGTTGTCCCTGATCTCAGAGGCTTACTGAGGTCTGAGAACTGAGCTCTAATATAGTTAAGGTTAATACAGTGTCATTTCTGGTATTACTGGAGGCCCAAATCTGGTTCTTCCTTCAATTTAACCAAAGTTTATATTGTTGTTGGGTGAAAATAGAACCTGTACACTCCAGTAATCCTTCACTCCTATTAGAGTGTGTTGATTAAGGGATATCATATCATTTAATTATTTCAAGAACCTCTCAAGAAAGGTTCTTTGGCTATTATTGTCCCTGTTTTACAAATGAAGGAACTGACATAGTGTGAAAGTGAAGTAGCTCAGTCGTGTCCCTACTCTTTGTGACCCCATGGACTGTACAGCCTACCAGGCTCCTCCGTCTATGGAATTTTCCATGCAAGAGTATTGGAGTGGGTTGCCATTTCCTTCGCCAAGAGATCTTCCTGACCCAGGGATCAAACCTTGGTCTCCCGCCTTGCAGGCAGACAGACGCTTTACCGTCTGAGCCCCCAGGGAAGCTCCAGACATAGCATGATGGAGTAGAAGATTCTTGGATTTGAGTCATAGCTCTACTGGTGATTAGCTCTCATTTCTTTGGGCAGTTAATTGCTCACATTTTCAAGTTTTGTAATCTGTTAACTGGAAATAATGGTATGACTTTCCCTATGGGGGTCTTATGAGAATTATACATGCATCTGTGTGATTGTCTGTTGGTATGTGTGCACACTTGTATATTTTGCTTAATACAAAAGTATTAAGTAGAAAGTTAATCCCTTCAAGTCAAATTTGACCATGGTTATATTACCCATGGTCAGATTTTTCTGTTGTAAGTCACAGGGCTCATGCATTAAAGCCTTTATTAATGGAATGAAGATCTCATTTAGAGCCAGAAGATCTAAATGTGAGTCTCAGTTCTGCTGCTTGCTAGTTATGGGACTTACATAAATCTAGATAGCAACTCAGGTCCCTTTCCATTCCTGAGATCTCCCATACTTTGCACCGGTAATGGCTCTGTTGAAAGGGCCCGGCCAGAACAGGAGTATGATCCTTGTACCTACTTATGAAATTATTACATAAATTGATTTATTTCTTAAAAACATAAGCTCTAAACAAAATTCTGTAAAGCAATTTATCCTTCAATTAAAAGTAAGTTTTTGTTGTTTTTTTTTTAAATTTTTTTTAAAGTAAGTTTTAAAAAATAAGGTTTTAGATAGCATTTGAGTGTTAGATAAGAAGGTAGTCCTTTGAATTTCTCTCAGTGTTTTATTTTTACCTTTTGCTGAATGTGTGCCCATTAGGCAGGTGTCTCTCCCCAGCGTCTCGTTCATCTCCTCTGCTTTTCCACTTGAGTAACCACTGTTCCGACTCTGGCCGGTGTCAGCTTGAATGTCTCTATTACTCTGATGGACCTTCCTGCCTTGGTGATTCATCCGTTTTATTTCAGATATTATTGCCACTATACAATTCAGATATAATTTTAGGATGGTAATTAAAATGTTGCTGCTAGAAAAGATGTGAGCATCATAAAGTGCCCTGACAAAGAATCCTTCCTACTGAAAGATACAACAAATCTTGTCCCTGTTGGCTTCCAGACCTTTTCTCTCCTGTAACTCTCATGGATCTCTGAGACAGATTCTTTTGCTTTCCTCTACCAATCTGCTGTGCTATGCCTGCTTTCCTTTGCCTTCTGTCTTTGACAAGTTATTCCTCCCATGAATGGACAGGATGGTCCACTCCCCAAGTCCACCCCACTTTGTGCCACAGCATACTTTTTCCTTGAAGCATGACGCAGAAGTCTCTATTCCTGGGAAAACTCTAGGACTGACTTCATGCCACTTGGAATCCTGTTGACAGTTTATAAATTCGTGTTCTCATTTTTATGTGAATTTATTTCCTTTATATGTGTGCTTTTGTTAGTTTTGCTACTGATTGAAACTCTTGAAGGCAGGAGCCGAGCTGTGTTTTCTTTCTTTGCTTTCTCCCACAGAATCTTAAGTATGTTGCTCAGCACTTAGGAAGCCTTTGTCATTGTTGGAGACTGATTCACTGTATTGAGCATGCCCCCTAGGGTCTTCAAACTGCTCAAAGCTGTTCACAAGTCCTCTCCGAAAGGCTGTATTACAAGTTTGAACATTCCAGGCATATCCACCAAGCATTTAACAGATCTGACCATAATTTTCCTAAATGCTGTTAAGAACATTCTGATAACAGAATACAAAACTGTACTTGAATCTAGTTACTAATTAGATACAGTGGGGTGGTCATTGGGTCACTCAGTTCAATAGGCCCATCTCAGTAGAAGCAGAATCAGGAGTTCCCTGGTGGCCCAATGGTTAGGTCCACTTAGGATGACCAGGTTCGGGAAACTTAAGATCTCACAAGCTTGCAGCATGGCCCCCAAAAAGAAGACTAGAGTAGTCCATTAGGAACTAGGTGTCATAATTATTTTGTCCATTATTTCCCATTATATGCTATACATGCCTATTTAATTATGCCTACAGATTTTATGATTAGTAGAGAGATATGCAATGGCAACGCACTCCAGCACTCTTGCCTGGAAAATCCCATGGACGGAGGAGGGCTGGTGGGCTGCAGTCCGTGGGGTCACGAAGAGTCGGACACAACTAAGCGACTTCACTTTCACTTTTCACTTTCATGCATTGGAGAAGGAAATGGCAACCCACTCCAGTGTTCCTGCCTGGAGAATCCCAGGGACGGGAGCCTGGTGGGCTGCCGTCTATGCGGTCGCACAGAGTCGGACACGACTGACGCGACTTAGCAGCAGCAACAGCAGAGAGATAGTCCCAAAGGTTAAATATCTGGGCTTTCCTGCTTATTTTCCTTGATTCTGTGATTAATCGCCAGTAATTTTATATAATGGGAGTTCCCAGGTGGCTCAGCGGTAAAAAATCTGTCTGCAAGTCAGGAGACATGGGTTTGATCCCTGGGTCGGGAAGATCCCCTGGAGAAGGAAATAGCAACCCATTCATTCCAGTATTCTGCCTGGGAAATCCTATGGACAGAGGAGCTTGGAGGGCTACAGTCCAGGGGGTTGCAAAAGAATCAGACACAACTTAGCAACTAGATAGTTTTCTACAAGACTTCACTGTATACTTTCTAAACAGATCAAAAGAAAGTTAATAATTCTTACTTAAAATTCTCCTAATAAGATGAATCTGTTATCTTCAGGGTCAACTTTATTCAGAGATGGTCATGCTATAGTGTATTTCAGGTCAGCACATGTCAGTCTTAGCCTTCGAAAATCCTCTGGGAAATATGGTTACTCAGGGGTGGGTAAAAGAGCTTGGGGACACTTGGGTTCCTTTTATCAGAATTCTCTGTGAACTGCGTCACAGAACAGGAAGAGAGAGACCTGAGAAGAAAAGGGAGGATATGAAAGCGTTGATTTTTCTGCCAAATCCTCTATAAGCAATTTTGTACCAACAAAGAAGAAACCTTGTTTTTTGGCCTACATTTGCAGCCAATCAAACTGTGTTGAATATTATTAAAGCAGGATTCTTTTCCCTGGTACTTTTTCCATTCCCCAGAGCAATGGCTTTTGTGTATGAAATATCCCCATAAATATACATAGGGAGAAGTACATATTTATTTTTAGAGCGCCTCCAAAGCATAGTAAATCATTCAGAATTGAAGAGAGGCAGACTCTGACGCTAACACAAACAAAATTATCATGCTTAGGGCCCATGAGTCCCCTGGGCATTTTGTTAAATCCACCACTTAGGAGTTGAATTAAACCCAGCTTGTGAGATTTTCTGAACAGTCTGTCCTTTTTCCCTCCATCTTTAAAAATATATAGATTAAACACACACACACACCAGGGCTTTATGTGTGTGTGTGTGTTTTAATTACTTCTTGGTAACCAGGCAGTAACTCTGCCTGAATATTTATAAGAACCGTTTAAAGGGGACAGAGACTGCGACTTAGAGTTTTAGTTTGTCCTTGGATATGTGCTGTGTGCCTGTCTGTCCCAGAGAAGCCTCACGAACACCTCCGCAGACATAGAGAATGAGGGCATGAGAAGCGGAGAGTGACTGCCTGCACGGCCCCTGAGCTGAGCCCTTGCGCCTGTGACTTCTGGACTGCCCTGACTGATTGCACGGGGACACAGGACCCTTTATGAAGCCCGTCTGTGCCCCGCATTTCTTAGCGCTGCCTTGCCTTTTACATCTAGTTTAGTTGGCCCCGTGGTTTGCGTGGTGGACTCTGTAATCAAACTGTTGTCAAGATCTGAATTTTGGTCCCATCTTTTACATGCACCGTGACCTTGGGCAAGCTGCCTCTCGGAATGTCAGTTTGGTCCTCTGTAAAGCTATCTCAATTGCAGTGCGTCCCTCAGAGTCCTGGGGTCAGATGTCAATGCTTTGTACAGTGCATGAAGTCAGTGTAGGATAAGCATTAGCAGTTATTTTGACTACTTACCCTTTGTTTCCTAAAGGTCCTTTGCAGGTGGATTTTAAGTGTGAAGAAGAACTATCGGAAGAACGTCGCCTATCATAATTGGAGACATGCCTTCAATACGGCTCAGTGCATGTTTGCTGCACTAAAAGCAGGCAAAATTCAGGTACTTCTCAGAGTCGTTTATATATTTAAGACGTTTTGTTGCTTTACCGCACATTCTTCCAATTTTTTTTAATGTGCACTAGTGATGATTGAGAATAATACTTACTGCCACTTAGAAGTAAATTGAGTTGTGTGTGCTTGTGCTCAGTCATGGCCAACTCTCACAACCCCGTGTGACTCTGACCCACCAGGCTTCTCTGTGTGTGGGATTTTCCCGGCAAGAATACTGCAGTGGGTAGCCATTCCCTCCTCCAGGGGATCTTCCCAACCCAGGGAGTGAACCCTGTCTCCTGCGTCTCTTAATTCAAGAAGACTAATATGGCAAAATAATTTCTAATTTTCTTTCATATATAATATACATTGCATATTAAAAAAAATTTTTTTAAATAGCTTCATGTTAAACTTAATAGTCTTTGGCCAAATAAATGCCTCCTTCAGAGGAGACTCTACAATAGAAGGAAAGTATCCCGTTTCTCACAGTCACAGTTAAACTGCTCCACAGCAGATCTTCTCAGAAACCACCCAGGTCCTGAACTCTGCTCCATAGATGGGCCCCGGGTCCTCCACCTCATTTTCTCTGGAGCACTAATTTTATATCATTTCATGGAAAAGGTTTTGGTTTCATACATGTGACCAGAGACCTTTACAATGAAGATCAGTGTAGAAAACATTCAAGTTCCTTTCCAGGTCAGATTTTTCATATCTCTGGCCTTAGATTCTAACTTCATTGGGAATTGACTAGTTATTCTAGGTAAGTGATTCCAGGCATCCATCATATGACTGTTTTTAATTCAGAGCTTCCATGCTCTTTTTTATTTAACAAACTCTAAAAATGTTATCCTCTGTTGTGACTTTCATTGAGTGCACATTTTAACTGGCTAGAGCTAAAAAAAAAAAAAAGTGAGCCATATCAAATACCACGATTGTATTTTCCTACTCTAACATTTATAAGAAATAGGGTGCATTTATTTGGGGGTTTGAGATGGTCGTGAGGACTGTATCACTGAAGCCTGTCCCTGCTTTTTGTGAACAATAACAGAATGGTGATTTCTGTACCTGTTGTAGACATTACTATGTAGGATGTTAAGAGGTCCAACAGAACAGAGCTGATAATAATTTCACCTATGTTTTCTTACTAATGAAGGAGAATAGTTGAGTAGATAATACAAATGGCAGGTATTAAAAATAACCTGTATTTGGCTTTGGAATATATTGTGCAACTTTTCAAAGCCAAATTTTCATTCCTCATCTTTTTTTCCTATTGTTGGCTAGTAATCACGTCTGTGCTTCTAATGAGAGTGAAGTATATAGCAACTGAAGTATATAGCAACTGGCAGACAGAAAAGGCCACAGAATCTAGAGGGAACTGCAGAAAGTTCCCTGCAAAAATTCAGAGAGAAGACAGTTGTTGGAAGTTTGGATTATTCTACATGTAGGTAGATAATTAAGAATTAAAAACATTGACTGCACATGGACAGATTGTTGATTATGTGAGGCATCTTAATTTTTTCTGTTGATAATAACGATCCCATTCTGAAGACAAAATATGACTGATTCAATCCCTGTAGGAAAGGATTCTAGCGTGAGTCCTCTGTGACTAGAAAGAAGCACGTATGTCAAGTGCTGAGGACAAAACCATGTGCTGGGTGAAAAGAGGTAGTATAATGCGCTTTACCAAACAGTTCTTTCTTTCTCTCCCCCACGGCCTTCGGTCATGTAGAACAGGCTGACGGACCTGGAGATACTCGCACTGCTGATTGCTGCCTTAAGCCATGATCTGGATCACCGCGGTGTCAATAACTCTTACATACAGCGGTAAGACATTTGCCCCAGTGGCAGAAGAGGGTGTTTCTTTTAAATTGTTGGGCTGTCTTGTTAAAAGTAGAAGCCACAGCAAATTTTAATGATATGAAATTTCAGTTGGTCAAGGTCCCGTAACATACTCTGGTTTTGTTTAAGGGAAATGGAAAAAATAGTGCAAGTCCAACATTATATCGGGAACATCTCTGGCCTGAAGTTCGAAAAGTATTTACGTTGAGAATCTTATTTCATTGGAGAATTACCAGGAGTTTTTCTTTAGTTTATGAACACCAGGCTTAAGAGCATCATTGGAAAACTATTAAGACTAGTACAGAAAAGGTAGAATTTCACCCTGGAATAAAAGATAGTACTTGAAAAATGCTTAGCTCAATCCTAAGTCCTTAGTTAGTGCCATCCATGAAGAGGCTTTTGGTCTTAGTGAAGGTGGTAGACCACGGTACTGGCCAGTCGGGGCTCTGAGGTCAGACCTGGATTCGCGTCCTCCCCCTCGCCACAGAGTCCCTATGTGACTGAGCAGGGGCGCTCACCTCTGTGAAGTCAGGATTGCAGCATTCCTACTCATGGGGTGGACCTAAGTTTTTTAAGACATAACGCACATCACTACCAGATAGAATGCCTGGCACATTTTTCAGTGTTAAAATCAATCTTAGCTTCAGGTGCTAGTGATAGTCCTGTCATCATCAGAAGCCTGCTTTAGGACTGATTTTGAGAGTAAGATACTAATTCTTCAGACAAGATTTCCAGGCTCTCTTGTGGACCGTGCTTACATAACATTTGCAATGGCAAATGTGATACTAAAGGTAATCATCAGATTTATGACATCATAAATGCTATCATGACATTTTTGTTTTCTTGGAGCAAATTAGTTGAAAGCATACATTTTTTGGCGAAATTTCTTATTATTGAACATTTTTTAAAGTATGCAAGTGATTCAGCTAATGCATGTATCTCGCTAGGAAATTCCAGATATCTGATATCTTGAGAGAACTTCAGAAAGCTCTCTAGTCACATCCCCTTTATCTAAATACAGTAAGTGGAAAACTTGATGTAGAAAGAATTGTAGCAATGCAGCAACCATGCCTTCTGCTAACCACTGATGGGAAAAGATAGCAGGCTCTGGCCTGGCTGCCGGAGGCTGGCTGTTTGCTCTCTAAAATCTAAGGTTTTGGAGAACTGGCTGTGTGACGTACCCTTCGTCCTCGGTGCTGTGTCACGTGACTGGTCCTGAGCTCCCCTCAGCACAGGAGCAGTTACGAGAGGGAACGGTGATGTGGGGACGTGTAGCGGAGAGTCTAGAGCAGCTGGGGTCAGCCAGCCGGGCGGCCTTCTCTTCGCTCAGCCCTAAGCATCGTGTCATTAGGATGTGGACTGTTAGTGTATGGATGGCCATACTGCCCTGCTTCAGGGCGAAAGAAAGTACTCAGCTATTTTTTCCCTTTGTTTATTTAAAAATAATCACCCACAAAAAAACATCTGGAGAAACGTCATCTTCTCTTCAAAAAAAAAAAAAAAGTCCTGGGAAAAAAACTGCAGGATCTTACTTCCACATATACCACAAAGTAGACTTGCACCAAGTAATAACAACTTTTAAAAATAAAGGAGTTTCAGAGATACTTATTTTTTCCTACATCCCTGTGGTTTGAGTAGAGGAAGCCAAGAATGTTCCAGGGATGTTTCTCTTTTTCTTTCCTTGGTGATAAACAAGTGGTATCTCCAGGAGGATTTTCTTAACCAAGGGACTCTTGGGAGACTAACAGTGTCAGAAACATTTCCATATAAAGAGCTGGCTTCTACAAAGGTGTACTGTGTCCAGACCTTTATCAAATATTCAAACACTCTGTAAAGAAACCAAAACAATAAAAGGCGGCACAGAAATGAAAGTTAATACATCAAAAAGAGAAAAAGCCCTTATGAAGTAGCAATGTTAGAAAGAGAACTAGTGTCATTTGTTCTTCCTGAAGATCTCAGAAAATCTGAAGTAAGCTATCCCTTGTTTAGGAAACTGTTTAGATTCTTGATGGGATTCTCTGGTTCCTCCCTGGTTCAGGAAGAGGGCCTTTATGAGGAGCACTATGAGTATGCCAGTGAAATACTCGGAGGGAGAGGTCACTGCCTGTGCCTTCCTCCCCCACATGGCTGGATGATGGGAAGAATGGTTTCAGATAGATACTGGATTATTCTTTTAAAAACAGACAGTCCCAGGAACAAGTGGCTGAAGAACAGACATCTGTGTGTGCAGAGAAATTTTCCCCCATTAGGCCAGTAGTCCATATTGGAGGACTGTGGTAGATACATTTACTTGGTTAGATTCAGGATTTGTGTTTTATAAACATAAATATAGTGAAATTATCCTACATTTTAGGCAGATGGATAATGTGCAGTTACTGGGGCCTGTACTTTGTTAGGCAGAGAGCTATAAACGTGTAAAATTCAATCCCTGTTCTCCAGGAATGTTTATTGTCTCCTCAAACAGTGGTGATTAATGTCAAAGTATCTGGTAAGTCCTCTGTTCTTTAATAACATGGGCTGGAAGTGTTCATTAGAGAAGGAGATGGGTCATGATCAGCGTAGCCTATCTTTACTGTTAATGGAAGAAGTCAGAGTTAAACCAGATTTTTGAAGTGAGTAAGACTTGGAGAGGAGAGAACATGAAGATATTCCAGAAATACCAGGAAGTGGGCATTTTCATTGGAACAGCAGTGATGGCTAGCCTGACTAGTCAGAATGAAAAGTAAGAAGTCAGAAGACCCTTTCGAGGGAGGGCTAGAAAACCAGGCTGTGCATTTTATTTGGTGTAGTGACCACTGATTGGTTAATGGCATTGCTTAAGAAGAAAAAATCTGAACGTATGGTGCTAGGTAGACAGGTAATAATTAGAACCACAGAGTTCAGCCAGAAAGCTGTCAGGGGAAGCCTGGTGTATACGAACATCACATACCAGCTGGAGGAAGGAAGGAAACTGTTTAAATCTAATATTGAACAGTTAGTGATATGCAAGAAGGAAGGGGGAAATCCTAACGCTGGTGCCACTGATGAGAGCGAGCGAGCTGGGAGGGGTGTCTGCACGCCGTGTCTTTGGGGGAGCCCGATCATGGGACGGTGGTTAGGAGATGTAGGATGGCCAAGTAAGGCTTTTTCTTTCAAGATTAGAGATTCAGCCAAGCCAGAATGAAAGAACTTCCTGGTAAGCACAGCCCAGTCACGTGTGTGTGAGTGTCCTGGAAGAACTCGCCCCGCACCGTGGTCCCCTCCACTCTCTAACGGAGGAGCAACAGTGAGCTGGGTCATGAATGGGCCGGTGGTCACAGAGGGTCAGCAGGATCTCAGAGGCTTCACAGGGCAGCAACGACAGCATAGGAACCACATAGTCCGAGAAGTTCAGACTGAGTCGTGTGCCTGAGCCAGGAATGAAGTCATCCTTGGTAACGCTGGAGAGCTTGAGAGACTGGAGGTCTGGATATGAAGAATGTGCAAGTTCAGTTAGTCTTAATGTCAGTAGCTAATAATAATAGTAATAACAGTAATAGAAGTTAACCTCAACATAGTCATAGCTTTTAGCCTTGTGGCATTTGGAACTCTTTCTAGCACTTTATATACGTGAGTTCAGTTAGTCCTTAGACCGGCCTGAGTGCACGTTCACATCCTGACTCCTCTCATTATATGTCTTTGAGCCAAGTCATGTAAACTTCCTGTTTCCTTCTCTGTATAGTAGAATAATGACAGAATAATACCTGTCTCACAGGGTTTCCTACGAGGATTAAGAAGTATAAACTGATGCAAAGTGCTTGGAACAGTACCTGGCACAGATTACCTGCTCAGCAAGTTTTAGCTATTTTCACAGGACAGACAAGAGCTCAAGACCTTGCTCTGTCCCAGAGAGGGACAGGCACTAGCAGAAAGACTGTGCCTGGTAGCAGCTCGATGCTGTGGAAAAAAGAAGGGAATGTCTCCTGCTGTGAAAGAAAATCAGCGGAACCCAGGAGGTCAAAGAGCGGGAGTCACAGGGTGAAATGATTCCTCAGCTTGAGTGTCTGTGATCACAGAGAACAGGAACATAAAATAAGCCCTGACTGACAGGCGATCGTGGTGACTTGGAGAGAAATTATGAAGTTGAGAACTAAATGGGTTGGCATGGGTTACAAAGAGTAGCTGAGAGATTTGAGCCCAGAGCAATATATATGGATGAGAAGCCAGATTAAAGGATGGCTGTTAGAGCCAGTGAAAAGGAGTACTGTGCCGGGGCGGCTGTGTTTTCTCCCAGCACTTTCATTTTCTTCTGATTTCTAAGGCACTGGTCTGATTTCCGCACCAGCGTCTTACTGCCGGTCAGAGATGGAGCAGCAACTGCAGGACAGGAGGAGGGGCAGGGAGGGTGTGCTCACCCATGACTGCTCACGAACAGCAGTGGGGGAACAGTCCTGCAGCAAGAGTGGTTTAAAGTGTCCTTCTGACATGACCTTGAAGAAGGAGGCGATGTAGCCTCGTGTTTCAAAGAGTGAGAAAGTGACAGGACAGAGGATACACTGATTTCCAGGAATATCTTTGTAAAGACAGAATTTGGGGCATTTGTCACCCTGTCATTGATTCATAAATCCATAGTTTTAGAACATAAGTAAAGGCAAACCATGTGTGTAAACATGTAAAAATGTAAGTAAATCTGCATTTGTTTATCTCACAAGCCAAGAATCTTCTCTAATGTGAAACAGTCCTTTCTGCATGGTGTAAAAACGCAACATGCATTCAAAATTTTAAACGTGTTTCCACTGTACCTGCCTCGTGTTTCTAGTCTGGCTACTAGGTCAGTGAGTAGGTGCTGGTGTCACGAGCCAGCATCACGCAGTAAAGAGGATGTGTTTGAACCCCAGCTCTGCCATTTGTGTTGACCTTGAACAAGTTAGATGATCTCTCTGAACTCTAGGTTGTCTAAAAAAACAAATGCTAAAATGCTGTAGCGACGCCTCAGGCTGGGTCTCCCTGGAGCACAGCCTGGGACAGAAGCCAGCATGCATACAGCTCAGGGGTGCATGTGATCCCAGGGGGGAGAAATGCAGGCCTGAGGGTGGGAAACGGACAGGAGGGGAGGCAGGAGGAGGCCGAGGGAGCCAGATGTCCACCCGCAGGGGCGCCCGGCGCGCAGTCCTGCCAGGAGCTTGTGAGCAGTCTCAGGACAGGAGACGCAGAGCTGTCTGCAAAGGGACAGAGACAGACGGGGAGGCGGCGGCTCACCACCCATGCCGTAGCCCCGGTCACAGGTGACCTCCACAGGCTTTCGCTCCTCACACTCGGGCTGAGCGGCCTGGGGGCAAGGGTGTGCCTGTGGGCAGAGATGAGAGGCGTTCTCACTGGACTGGCGAGCGCCTCCTCACGGGCTCCTCACGCCTGTGTCACAGCAGGCCTGACGCTGGACGCCACGACAGCGGCTGCAGTAGGAGGTGGGACTGAGGATGTGACGTGGTGAGCGAAAGCGTCCTATACAAGAGTATCGTCAAAATCAAACCAACTGCTTAGCACAGGGCTGGACATGTCACAGGCTCTTAGTGGAGAGTACTTGTTATCATTAGGGAAAAGGAATCTACCAAACTGAAAAGGAATACAGTCTGACAGGTAACAGACTTATAAACCACCAGCAGAGTAAGACAGATGGTGATACTGGATGTGCTTAGGTTTCTCATATAAATGAAAATAACAGATACTCTAGGAGCTTTGCCTTTCCTAGGTGAAGGGGATGAGGAAGGCTGCAGTAGTTTTACTGAAGTGTAAACATGAGCGACACTAGTGGGTCTGGTCCGAGTGGAGAGAAAATACCGTTGCCACAGCAGAGACTGTAGACTCCAGGCAGGATGTGGGGTCTGTTTATGCTGGGCCCTCTGTAAGCCCAGGCCACCTCCCTGGAGACCTCATCTGCTTGAACGGCTGCATGCCAATGTGACCCAAGTCTTTCCAGTCCAGACATTTATACCCACGTGGTTGGACTGCAGCCACCTTAAAATCAATAGATCGAGCGCTCATCCAGTCGGCTTCCCTTCTTCACCCCCATTCTAAATCGTCTTCTCCCTTTTTCCCCTGGGTCAATAAATGACAATGCAGAAACTCAGCCTCTCTGCTTTCCCCCTTCATCTCTCTCAGCTCCACTAGTTCCCAACACCAGGACTCACTGCCAGCTCCTGACTCATCTGCCTCCTTAAACAACTCTATTTGGGATTCTACCAAGTCCAGTAGAATCCCAAATTCTACCAAATCCACTCTAATCCAGGCTGTCTCTTACCTGGGTACTAAAACAGTTTCCCACTAGGTTTCTAACTAAATCCCAGTAGACTCCATGCATCTCCAGAATGGTTCTTATAGACCTGCTTGTTTTAGTTCATCCCATGGTCTTCCTGTTGTCCAGTGATCAGCACAGGATCTGACCTATGGTACAACCTACTAGACATGAAAGGAGCAAAGAAGACAAGGCAGGAGCTACTTTGGGAGAAAGGTTGCGAACAACGAAGAGACGTGGCAGCTTGGGAGTCGGCAGCGTTGGTTGTGCTATCGGGAGGAGATAAATTATCCATTCTCTTACCTTTATTTTCATTTTACTGTTTTTGTTTTCCCTTTAGCTGCTGTCATTCTTAGCTTATTTTTTCCTGTGTCACCTTTTTGGGTAGTGTCTCTATCTTCAACAAATGAAATGCAAAGTAAAATAATGATTCATAGAGTAGTATAAAGGAATAACCAATCAGTTGTATTATCTAACACTTGTATGATGCTTTACAATTCATAAACCCCTGTCCTCTAAATTTAAGAAACAGACTTTCAGGAACTATAATTTTCTTCTGTTGTTTTGAAAGAACAAATAGTGGAAATGGTGCTTTATATTCCCACGTGAAAGGTCATGAGAAATAGGAGACGGAGGACTCTGCTTATCATGCTTCAGAATTTGATTTGTGACTGTTACACATAACGAACTGACTGTAATATCCTCTCCTCACCCCTTTACTTAATATGGGCTTCTCAGGTGGCGCTAGTGGTAAAGAACCCACCTGCCAATGCAGGAGATATAAGACATGTGGGTTTGATCCCTGGGTCAGGAAGATCCCGAAGGAATCTTCGGGAAGGAAAGGAAATGGCAACCCACTCTAGCGTTCTTGCCATGGACAGAGGGCCCTGGTGGGCTACAGTCCACAGGGTCACACAGAGTTGAACACGACTGAAATGACTTAGCACACACACACCACTTTACTTGGCCAAATGGTTCAGCATTGAGTCCTGTGCTGAAGTAAGCTGCATCCCACAGGGGGCTTTTTCTGACTTGGCTGTCTCCTTCCTTCCTCCAGTGGGCGAGATGTGCACGCACTGTCCCCCTTTCCCTTGCTTCTCACCACTCATAACTCTTACATGCACGTGCAGAGACACTGCCTTCAGCCTTATTTCAGAACAAAGACTCATATGGAAATTTATTTCAGATTTTAAAGTAATTGCACTTTTGAAACTGCAAAGTATTGTTGGTACAGCTGTTTCAGGTGTTTTTTTTTTCATGTGTAGAGAAAGTAATCCTTTGTTATTATTCCTTCTACTATCATTATCTTAATAACTATAAAAACCAGTGAAATTGCTCGTACTGTGAACAGGGAGCAATTACATTGATATTTGAAAACAGTTTGACTCTTGACATGTATTTCCCAGAGATGACCTCAGTCTTTCCAGCAGAAGGAGAGAAAATTGCTTGATTAATTTTTATGAAGTAGCCTCTTTTTCAGTTAACCAGTAAGAAACTGATAACTGATATATGTTGGGGAAATTGGTCATATTTTAAACTTTTTTTTCTTTCTTCAACTAACCACGTTTCAGAAGTGAACACCCACTTGCTCAGCTGTACTGCCATTCAATCATGGAGCACCATCACTTTGATCAGTGCCTGATGATCCTTAATAGTCCTGTAAGTACCTAATTTATGGTTGTGGACTTCCAAAAGAGAGTTTATAAATTCAGTTTTATTTTTAAGTTTTGGATTTATTCCCAGCATCATAAATTCTTGAGCATGCTTTATTCCTTTTTGGGTAAGAAAGGCAAAGCCAAAACATTTGAGATCTTCACAGCCTTACTTCTCTAGAAACCAGAAATGTCTTAATGTTGCCTGATAAGGGAAAACTGGTTACTTACCTCAGTTTGGTTATTCCAAATTAGAAACAAACAAAACTGGTATTTTATGGTTCTCTGTTAGTTGTTTTTGTTAAATGATGTGGTTTATACTGCTCTCAAATGTCTTTCACAGGCAATACCTTTTCCTCTTTTTATTGAAACTTCTGACCACTAATAAACATTTCTGTTAAGGAATAAAGTTATTCAACACTGGCTAAATGAATATCAATGTAAGAGAGCATGTGATATGCTATGCTAGTCATATTTATGTTAAGGAAAATATTAAAATGATATACACCAAAATATTCACAATGGCTGTCTCGGTCTACTTAAATTATTAGCTTTTTAATTTTCTGATTTGGATTTGTTCATTATTCGCATTATCCATTGTATGCATATATTACCTTTATAATAAGAAAAAAAATGAAAGTTGTAGACTCTTATGTTGAAAAGGCACAGTGCGTGGCATGTGATTTTAAAGCAATTTTATCTCCATCTCTTTACATTTGCCCACTGGGTTCGTCTTCCCTGAGCCCTAGAAAACTTAAGAGGCTTATGACTTGTGGCGACTCTTTTTAAGTAAGCGCTTTCTAGTTACTGCTTTACATCACAAAATACAGCATACGGTTTTCAAGTTAGAAACCAGAATGTTCAGTCCCATGGAACGGCACAGATCTTGGACCTGACTTAAAGCTTCAGGTCCTTTTCCTGCCCTGGTTGGCCTCCCTCATCCGTCCCTAAGGTTCTTTGACTCCTTCCTCACACCCAAGTCCCCACGTCCTGGAGAACAGGAAAGAAGGGGGCCCAGAACGCTGAGCAGACTGGTGGTCTTACGCCTGCCCCCTCTGTGCCTCATAGGGGTCTAACACAGGTTCTTTTCTCATGAGTAATTCCATGATCATGGCCACACGACCTAACTGTCGGCTTTTCCACTGACGTCCCCTTAATACGCGTGGCCACCTCTCGCAGTGTATCGCCTTATGACTTCCTCCTCGGCTCCTGGAACTCTGAGTAGTGACTTTCATCTCCTTTCTGCTAAGGTTCCTTGGCTCTCTTTGTGGTCCTCTTGAAAAGGACAGGGCTTAAAGGGACCTAATGCCTCCAAAACTCAGAAGAGGAAGGCCATCCTGAATGGAAGCAACCTCTCCTTCCTGCTCAGTCACAGGATTTAGCCAGCCTGGGTCTTACCTTTTCAATTTTCCAGACGTCAATGAGACACGAGTGCACTGTAGCCCCAGCCCACCCACCCAGCTCCAGGAGACACACAGCGACTGCAGGCCGCTCCCTCCTACTTGAGGGAAGAGGAATGCAGGCCTAACTGTCAGTGTGGGTGAAAGGCTGAGTTCTGTGGCCAGTTCTGGCACCTCCTTGTAAATTCTGCACATGCTCTAGTACAGACTGTCTGCTACAGATGTGACTTTTAACAAGAATTAGTGTGTGACTGGGAGGTAGGGGGATGATGTTGGTAAAATGTACAAATTGTACTGTTTCGTGCACAAGTTCTCTTGGGTTAGGTGTCAGAATTATGGGAGCTGAATTTCAGCCTTCAGCAAGAAAGGAAGAAACGCTCTGCTTGGCTCCTGCCCGAGCAGCCCTTTCCGTTGTTACAGGAGTACTCGAAGTGGGCACTTGCCCTGAGAGGCACCCCCTCGCCCTGGACTGCGCTGGGCCGTGGGGCGGAGGCTGCTCATCCTCCAGGGCCGCCCGTAATACAGCCCCACTGTCTCTGGGGTCCAGTTCTATCTGCACTGCCGCGGGCCTCCATAAACCAGCATTTCCATTCCGCTGCTTTTGTGTCCGCTGCTTTAATGTCCTCAGAGGCAGCTGCCAGACGTGTGAGCCTGGCCTGTCCAAGTTTCCTTCAAACATCCTAATTCGTGGTTTGTCTCGTGCTCTGGTTAAAAAGCTGCACGGGCTTTGCGCGGTCTGCCCAGTACTGTTCTTCCCATACACCATGTTATTTTTAGTGTGTGGCTTTTCTGAACTGAGACTTGTCAGGAATGTCTATGCTGAATTATAGCAGAAACATCTGTACCTTCATTGGAATTTGCTGTCTTTGCCCTTCAGCTCAAACTTCATTTTTAATATCCTATTTAGTTTTGAAGAAAACGTGCTTAACCTTTTTCTTAAAAAGCATATTGTACAGTATTCCTATCACACTGCTCTCTGTTATCAGATGACATAACTTAACGATGTAATATATTATAACATAAAAGGAATCTTGCTGTATATATGGCCGGCCTCATAAGACCCATCTCTACATTCTGTCTTTGTAAGCACGAACACATAGGAATTTATAGCTTTTGCTCATGGAAGGAAAAATTAAAATATAATACCAAAAGACATTTCTACTTTTCCATTTAACATAGTCTTATCTTAAATAAAAGTATCAGAAGCTATCTTCAGAACAGTACTGTTTTGTCCAGAATCTAAAGTGATTTAATATTTAAAATAGTATTTCTTGTATAATCACAGATTATTAATTAGACATGTATTACAGTTTCGGCATCTAATTATCCTCTAACCAATGTCTGACCCCAGCTCAGTAGCTTTCTTTCTTCAGAGCAAATCCTTTGCCTCTAAATCCTACTTCTAAGCTTCTGGGTTTTTTCCCCTAAGCGCTAAGGTTTAGGAAGCACATCTGACTCAATTTACAGATGTTGTTTTGAGTATAGTCTGAGTACCCAAAGTATGTTTCACTTAGTTCAAGATCAGTGAGTCACTGTGCTTTAAATTACAGGCAAGAAATTTAAAAAACGGTGACGTAGCAAAAACTTTAGATAATTTGCACATGGATTAGCCATCTTTGAAATCCTCCTTACAGTTGTTTCAAACTCTTCTTTTCTTGAGGAAGCACACATCACTCATGCCTGCTACCCATCTATACTGCACATGTTCCTAGGAATAAACACTATTCTCAATAAGAAGTTAAAAATATATAAATCTGCCCCAGAAAGGTTACTGGATTTGTTATAGAAACCCGAGAAATGATTTTTAAAATAATCATTTACAGTTTCATCCCTCTGTTCTTCACATCTATTATATATTAAATCTATATGACTTTGATTTTTCAAAGTTTTACTTACTGTCAGATTTAGCAGTTAACTTTCCCAAAGGAAAAAGGTATATAGTCATTAACTTTTGGACCTGGACTAAAGCCAAGAAGTACAAGAGTTGGAAAAACATGCTTACTTTGGTCCATGAACCATCATGAAGGTGTTTTTTTCCTCAAATGACAAGGTGGTGGGGTGGGTGCCTCAAGGGGAAACATTACTTAATGCTGTTTACTTGTGTAAGGAGGTGTCCTCTGTCTTCCTGAGTTCGGAATGTGTGTAAGAGATGTGACTGTATTTTCAGATTTTGTTCTCAGCAGCAGTGTCTCCAAGTGGAGTGCTTACGATGGTTTTCTTTTTTATAAAGGGCAATCAGATTCTCAGTGGCCTCTCCATTGAAGAATATAAGACCACGCTGAAGATAATCAAGCAAGCTATTTTAGCTACAGACCTAGCACTGTACATAAAGTAAGTTTTAAGAAATATCTTGATAAATAGATTTCGGATGTGTTTGCACAGTTTCCAACTTTAAAAATCCCCATTGGGATATTTTTAGATTATAAGAACCAATGTCCTGGAAAAGCTGTTTATCACACCATGGAGCAGTTTGTTAAAGGAAGCCAGAGAAGTATACTCAACGCTAGAAATGACAGAATACAGAATTGTTTCTGATATCTGTCTTTGAAAGCAGATAACCATCTCAAGGTCTTCTAAGCTTGGCTGGCCAATCTAAAGGATATAATAATGCCCTCTATAAAGGGCATCTGCTTCTTCTTCTGTCCTTCATTCCCCCAACTTCTGACCATCTCACAGTCCCTTAAACTGTTATCCAAGCCTATGTGGGCAGGAAAAGGAGCTGAGTCCCAAACAAGTAAATCTTATTTGTTTTTATTGGATTTTGGCAGAAGAAGAGTATTAACGTAGAACTTTATAGTTAATGTAGTTAACGACTTAAGAATTAAAGTATGCTTGAGAGTGTATCAGTGATGTAGGTGTGTGTGTGAGTAACTAAACTTACTTTCTAAAAGAAAGGAACGATGTTGCTGGGTTTGGGCAGCCGTCTGTTACCCACACAGAGTCCGAGCTCTCTGCTGCATGTGTGGGGGTGGAGGCAGATGGACAGTCACGCTCACGGGATTTCCTGGGAGCGAGGGCCTCTCCCCCGCTGTACACAGATGCACACTATGGTTTTAGCCACTCTTGAGAAGTAAAAACAAACAGAACAGACACACAAACCCGCACGCCAGAGAGCCACCACTGTACGTCCAAAAGTAACTTACGTCTAAAAGAGTCTGTTTCCTTGGACTTTGGAGCACTTTAAAGTTAATTAGGGTAAAAAATATATGTTGTAAATTTCAGCTCAAAATGACTGCAGGATGATTGGTAACTGTCAAGCTACCAATAATTTGAAAAGTACCTGAAACCACAACGACTTCCTGACCTTTCCAGGCCACATGGTCTCCCCTCTGGATCCTTCCGAAACCTCTTTTCATTTTGGTACACAGTCACAGACAGGCAGTTTTGTTATGCAGGTTTCTCTTCTGTGTGTCTTGTGACTTTGACTAGTTTAAATGTTATGAAAAGAATTCATGTCTCGCTATTTCCCAAGATGCTTAACCATGTTGAGCACATGGAGGTATTCACTATACAATGAACAGATATTAGTTTATACTTGGTCTTTCTTTGCTTCAGAAGAACTTCACAACTTTATACTGACATATTTTGGTATAAAGTAAAAAATTATGTGAATGAGACATATGAAATGAAATTGAAGCCATAGAGATCTTGCACCATATGCAAAATTTCTTAACTCATTCTTGGCATCAGATTTTTAACTCACATTGTTTGATATTCAACTAAATCATATTCGGGAATCGAAATTTCCATTACTTGTGACTTTAGTTAAAAGTGAGAAAAGATTTAATATTTCAACCAAAGGATATGGTAGAAGAGAGGAAAGTAAAGTATTCAAGATTTTTATATGATTCTTACATTGGATTATATATTCTTATATAAGAATATAAGAATCTCATATGAGAAGAACCATTAGAGATTCTTTCCCTGAAATTTTACTTGACGAGCCTTTGTTGACCAAAGGGATAAGATCTCAGGGGACTCACCATAGCTTAGGGGACTCATCGTAACTACCAAATATTTTTCTTTATTTTAAAGGAGACGAGGAGAATTTTTTGAACTTATAAGAAAAAATCAATTCAACTTGGAAGATCCTCATCAAAAGGAGTTGTTTTTGTAAGTAGGATTACTATCCTTAAAGCTGGTTTTGCTACCCAATTAATTTTACTGCAATTATTTGTTACAATGTGATGATCACAGAGGCTGTCAGAATTCTTACAAGTGTTATACAAAGGGCTAAATATGAATATTTACTTAAAAAGGAATGCATTTGCAAATTCAAAAGAATAAATTACTCTTTTTGTCCTAGAAGGACCTTTAAATGTGGTAGAGTATCATACAAGGCTGTAGGGGTCCCTTGTTCACACACTCACAGTTCTTTTGAATGAAAGAGCTGAAAACAGCATCCTGAAGATTGCTGGAGCAAGAACATGACTGTGAAGTGTCTACTTCCCTCACTCGATGGCAGAGCAGCAGTCAGACCTTCAGCTCGGCTGGCTGCTCAGTCGAGTCCGACTCTCTGTGACCCCCATGGACTGCAGCACTCCGGGCTTCCCTGTCCATCACCAACCCCCGGAGCTTGCTCAGACTCAGTCTAGAGTCAGTGATGCCATCCAACCATCTCATGCTCTGTCATCCCCTCCTCCTGCCTTCAGTCCTTCCCAGCATCAGGGTCTTTTCCACTGAGTCAGCTCTTCGCATCAGATGGCCAAAGTACTGTATTCAACATCAGTCCTTCCAATGAACACCCAAGACTGATCTCCTTTAGGATGGACTGGTTGGATCTCCTTGCAGTCCAAGGGACTCTCAAGAGTCTTCTCCAACATCACAGTTCAAAAGCATCAATTCTTCAGTGCTCAGATTTCTTTATAGTCCAACTCTCACATCCATACATGACTACTGGAAAAAAACATAGCTTTGACTAAATGGACTTTTGTCAGCAAAGTAATGTCTCTGCTTTTTAATATGCTATGTAGGTTTGTCATAGCTTTTCTTCCATGAAGCAAACATCTTTTAATTTCATGGCTGCAGTCACCATCTGCAGTGATTTTGGAGCCCAGAAAAATAAAGTCTGTCACTATTTCCATTGTTTCCTCATTTATTTGCCATGAAGTGAAAGGACTGGATGCCATGATCTTCATTTTTTGAATGTTGAGTTTTAAGCCAGCTTTTTCACTCTCCTCTTTCATCAAGAGGCACTTCAGTTCCTCTTTGCTTTCTGCCATAAGGGTGGTGTCATCTGCATATCTGAGTTATTGGTCTTTCTCCTGGCAATGTTGGCTCCAGCTTGTGCTTTATCCAGCCCTTCTCATGATGTACTCTGCATAGAAGTTAAATAAGCAGGGTGACAATATACAGACTTGACGTACTCCTTCTCCTATTTGGAACCAGTCTGTTGTTCCATGTCCAGTTCTATCTGCTGCTTCCTGACCTGCATAGAGGTTTCTCAGGAGGCAGATAAGGTGGTCTGGTATTCCCATCTCTTGAAGAATCTTCCACAGTTTGTTGTGATCACACAGTCAAAGGCTTTAGCAGAATGCCTTAGTAGTCAATGAAGCAGAAGTAGTTGTTTTTCTGGAATTCTCTTGCTTTTTCTATGATCCAACAGATGTTGGCAATTTAATCTCTGGTTCTTCTGCCTTTTTTAAATCTACCTTAAACATCTGGAAGTTCTCAGTTCACATACTGTTGAAGCCTGGCTTGGAGAATTTTAAGCATTACTTTGCTAGTGTGTGAGATGAGTGCAATTGTGCGGTAGTTTGAGCATTCTTTGGCACTGCCTTTCTGTGGGATTGGAATGAAAACTGACCTTCTCCAGTCCTGTGGCCACTGCTGAGTTTTCCAAATTTGTTGGCATACTGAGTGCAGTACTTTCACAGTATCATCTTTTGGGATTTGAAATAGCTCAACTGGAATTCCATCACCTCCACTAGCTTTGTTCGTAGTGATGCTTCCTAAGGCCCACTTGACTTCACACTCCAGGATGTCTGTCTCCAAGTGAATGATCACACCGTTGTGGTTATCTGGGTCATTAAGATCCTATAGTATAGTATATATATAGTATATACTATCCTAAGTATAGTTCTTCTGTGTATTCTTGCCTCCTCTTCTTCATATCTTCTGCTTCTGTTAGGTCCATACCATTTCTGTCCTTTATTGAGCCCATCTTTGCATGCAGTGTTCCCCTGGTATCTCTAATTTTCTTGAAGAGATCTCTAGTTTTTCCCATTCTATTGTTTTCCTCTATTTCTTTGCACTGATCTCTGAGGGAGGCTTTCTTATCTCTCCTTGCTATTCTTTGGAACTCTGCATTCAGATGAATCTATCTTTCCTTTTCTCTTTTGCCTTTGACTTCTTTTCTTCTGTCAGCTATTTGTAAGACCTCCTCAGACAACTGTTTTGCCTTTTTGCATTTCTTTTTCTTGGGGATGGTCTGGATCCCTGCCTCCTGTACAATGTCATGACCTCCGTCCATAGCTCTTCAGGCTCTGTCACATCTAATCCCTGAGTCTACTTGTTTCCCCCACTGTACAGTGAATGGTGAGGGATTTGATTTAGGTCATACCTGAAGAGTCTAATGGTCTTCCCTACTTTGTTCAGTTTAAATCTGAAATTTGCAATGAGTTCATGATCTGAGCCACAGTCAGCTCCGGGTCTTGTTTTTGCTGACTACTGTATAGAGCTTCTTCGTCTTGGACTGCAAGGAATATAATCAATGTGATTTCATCATTGACCATCTGGTGATGTCCATGTGTAGAGTCATCTCGTGTTGCTAGAAGAGAGTGTCTGCTATGACCAGTGCGTTCTCTTGGGAAAACCCTGCTAGCCTTTGCCCTGCTTCATTTTGTACTCCAAGGCCAAACCGGCTTGTTACTCCAGATATCCTGTGACTTCCTCCTTCTGCATTCCAGTCCCCTGTGATGAAAGGACATCTTTTTTTGGTGTTAGTTGTAGAGTCAGAGCTTCAGGGTTCTGTTTTTCCTCACTTATTTTCCCTGTCCCTCCCTCCCATCCTTTGCTATACTATCACTGCCTTTTCCATGACAAGAACTAGACCAATAAAATAGAACTTAGTGTGAATAATAAAGACAGAAGTAGTAGTAAGACTGAGGATAGTGCTCTATTACAATTTTATAACTAAATCTCTTAGATAGGTAGGTATTACTTCACATGCAAACAAATACACAAATAAGGAAACATACAAATGCCCAGCTGTCTGTTCTGAACAGTCATGCTTCATGTGAGAGCCTCAGCATGTTTTTTAGAGCAGTGCCTTAGAAAAGGATACACACACTACTGCAATCTGCGACCAGTTTTTCCCAATAACAAAAATGGAGTTCCACCTTGATTCCAAGTCTGTGCCACCGTCTTCACTGCTATGCTCTCCTAACTTCTGACCTCGAGCAGAGCAGCAGCTAGCACACCCAGCGCTCAGGCTGCCTCTTCCACTCTTCACTGTCCAGACTGTAGTTAAGCTTATCCAGACACTGCATGCTCTTCTTTGGGGGAGACAGTTTGCATTGGCAAGCATTACTGAAATCCTTCATGATTAAACATTTCTCTGGTGTACTTACTCATTACCTGTGACGAGAGTTGGTGTAAGAGAGTCTGAGGCCAAAAACCATTTTCTTTGTGGCCTAATATGGTTAGGGAGGATGTACTTTTATTTAGATTGTCCCTAGAGGTACAAGTGACACAGTCCTTTACCTTGAGTGTTCCTATATATGACAGTGATGACCTTTTTGCCTATGTCTTCAAACAGATTGAAAGAATTAGATAGCAGGTATTTAGACCTGATGTGGAAAAACACTAAACCAAAGAGAAACCATTTTCACACAGTAGTTACAGTATTGAGTTCTAGAGCACCTTGCCACAGACTCCAGAGTCCAGCATGGTTTTCAACTTCTCTAACAAGAGGAGGAGTAAACAGCACCATATCCTTTCATTTCCCTCTTCTCTCCAGCAGGTACTGTTCAATAATTTAAAGACTTTTCACATAGGAGCCATGACGTGTGCTGAGTGAATTAGGATGACCCATCACAGTTCTTGCTGTCACGGGGGTCTTATCAATAGGATAGCTGATGATGTTTAACAGTTAATTATTAGTAATCAATGTGTTTTCACCATACTGTCACTGAGAATGGAAGGCCAAAGTAAAAAAAATAATAACAGCAGGCAAGTTTTTGCACAGAGGCTGGTAATTTCTCTCCTTCTGCTAATCTGGAGATACAACAAGGCAGTTTGAGGGCAAATTCCAATAGTTCACTGTGTAAGCAAAACAACTGACACTGTGATACCATTGTATCAGTTCTGCTTCTATATAAATTCTATTTCTGTTTCTTTAGTCTTTGTAAACTGCCATCTCTATAGTTTATGGGGTTTTAACTTTTTATCAGTAACTAACTGTTTACTAGGGTTTATAGTCACATAAAGGTATATAGTCACATAAAGGAGTATTGGACCTCTTTTTCCTTAACAGAGCGATGCTGATGACAGCTTGTGATCTTTCTGCAATTACAAAACCCTGGCCTATTCAACAACGGGTATGTTGTTTAGTGATGAAAAAGTAGTAATTAAAAAGTCAGAGTATGTGATGATTTGGGAGAATAGCATTGAAACATGTATATTATCATATATGAAACAGATCGCCAGTCCAGGTTCGATGCATGAGACAGAGTGCTCAGGGCTGGTGCACTGGGACGACCCCGAGGGATGGGATGGGGAGGGAGGTTCAGGATGGGGAACACATGTGCACCCATGGCTGATTCATGTCAATGTATGGCAAAACCATTACAATACTGTAAAGTAATATAGCCTCCAATTAAAATAAATAATTTTTTTTTTAAATGTCAAAGTATGAAAAACCTTTACTCTTAAATATAGTTTTTAAAGTATATGGGAAACTTTTAATCTAAATTTTAAGTAGTATTAAAAACAGATAATTGGACATAAACACTTTTTTTCTTTTTTTTTTTCACTTTTCTTTTTTATAAGACTTGTTATGACTTAATAATATTTCTAAGACTTATTAAGAAAGAGAGCATCTATATTAACACAGCAAAAACCTAGCTGCTGATAAAGTTTAATTCCAGTACTGTTTCTACCTCAGTTTTTTTTTTTTTAAGCACATCCCTTTATTAGTCTTAATAATTAGAAGATGCAAACTCCATTTTCTTGTGGTTAGCCTATTAGGCTGTACTTCAACTCTAAATAGGCATTAACAAGTAGAACTTAAATCTGGTGCTCATAAATATAGGACATGTTGATATTAGATATCCAGAAGGTTCTGATTAGAGCCCATGATCAGGTGGCTAGAAATATATCGTCTCTCTAAATAAGTAACTGCCGTAACACTGTGCTGAGGCATAAAGGCCCTAGGCTAAATACAAGGCGGGGGGGTGGGGGGGGTTGTATACATGCAATGATGTGTATATCGTGTTTGTTTTTTGAGACTGCATTTTCAGTCCTAAAAGTACTGAGATTATTGACAGTTGCTGTTGGTCACGACTATGGGATACATAGTCATGGAGCCCAGGAATGACAGGCTCATCTCCTGAACCACGTGCTGACAAAACAGCATCAGGAATGCAGTCTCCAGGTGCCAAAGCTGACATGCCATAAGCACGCAAGAAATGTCTCTACAGACCTTCCTGCTCCATAGTAAATAAGATTATATGCCCATTCAAAACAGGAAAGAGAATGGAAGAGGAAAGAATTTCTTTCCTTCTCTTTCTTTTGAATCAAACTCTGAAAACATACAGCAGTGAAGCTGGGGTCCAGATAAAAAGCAGCACTATAAAGCCTCTATAATTAAAACAGTTTGGAATTGGTATCAGACCCATGGAACACAATAGAACACTGAGAATTGCATAGAACATTTACATAATTAAGATAGCATTTCAAATAACTGGGGGAAAGACAGACTTTACTCAATAATGTTAGGATGGTTTTCCCATTTTCCATAGCCAGATGGCAAAAGATGAAACCGGATCTATTCTGCATACTTAAATTCCAAATGGGGCATAGAGCTCAGTGTAGAAAATTAAACCATACAAGTACTAAGTAAAAACATTTGTGGGTTCTTTTATAACTGAGGAGTGAGAAAACTTTCCTAATTATGGCTCCACATGCAGAAACAATAAAGACTGACAAATTTGATTACATGAAAATAAAAAATTAACGAAACTTTTTTGCATGACAAAGACACATTAAGCAAAAACAGACAATGCTGCTGCTGCTAAGTCACTTCAGTCGTGTCCGACTCTGTGACCCCATAGACGGCAGCCACCAGGCTCCCCTGTCCCTGGGATTCTCCAGGCAAGAACACTGGAGTGGGTTGCCATTTCCTTCTCCAATGCATCAAAGTGAAAAGTGAAAGTGAAGTCGCTTAGTCGTGTCTGCCTAATTAGCGACCCCATGGACTGTAGCCTACCAGGCTCCTCCGTCCATGGGGTTTTTCAGGCAAGAGTACTGGAGTGGGGTGCCATTGCCTTCTCCGAACAGACAATGAGGAACAGGTAAAAAAGTTGATAGAGATAGAAATGCAAATGGCTCTTACTCATTTGAAAAGGTCTCAGAACCTCAATCACAAGGAAAGATACAAATTAAAACTGTACTGACACAAAAGGACTTGTACAGAATCTCATGACAGCATTATTCCTAATAGTCAGAAACTAGAAACCATCCAGATGTTCCTCAACAGGAGAGTGGGTCAATGTATTACAGCACACTACCTCACACAGTGCCGCTCTGCAACAGTAGAAAGAAGCTGACGCTGGTACAGGCAACACCACGGACAAGTCTCACCAGCAGTATATGCTGAGTGAAAGTAGCCGGACGTAAAGGAACACATACTGTGATGTCATTTACATCACGTTCTAGGAAAGGCAAAACCAATCAGTGGTGAAGGAAGTGAGGATAGTGGCTGAGCGGAGAGGAAGCAAAGTAGGTTCCGTGACTCTCACAGAAGGGCCTGAGGGCAACTTCTGGGTGATATAAACACTGTTTCTTGGTTGGAGGGTGTGTTAACCTACTCACATGCATTTGTGACTATAGACCAATGATCTATGCAATTCATTGAAAAAAAAAAAAAACCACACTAAGACCATTTCTCAACTGTCTGATTGGCAAACATTTAAAGATTTTACAGCATACTCTGCTGGGGAAGCTGTGGGAAAACAAGAAATGCAAAATACTGTAACTGTTTGGAAGTATATGATTATACATAGTCATTTACTATTACTTCTAGGAATCTTATCTCAAAGATATACTGGCAAGAATATAAAAATGCATTTACATAGGCTATTCATTTTAGTGCTGTTGGTAATAGCAAAAACAAGAAACAGCCCAAATGTTCGTTAATATGGTACTAAGTAAGCTGTACTATTTATTTATATGATGAAGTCTCTGCAACAGTAAAAAGAAAGGAGCACTTTCTATATTTCTATATTTCTACGGGGTGATTACAAAGATACAAGTGAAAAAGCAAGGAAGAGAAAATGGGTATGGTATGTTACCATTTATCCGAGAAGGCAATGGAATATGAACGTATGTACTTATATTTGCATATATTTTTAAAAAGCAGGAGTAACTGTAAAAAAGTTAATGATTTCCCACAGGGGAAGGAGGGAATAAGATTGAGGAACAGAGGTATAAGGTAGAGTTCCTTGCATGTACTTGTTTTGTAGATTTAATTTAGGAACCATGTAAACTGTGCTTATAAAGTTGAACTTAAAAAAAAAAATCACATAACCTGGGAAGTAAAATGAAACAATGTGATTTTGGTTGCAAAACCACACTGCTGGGGACACTTTTATTCCAAGAGATTTAAAACCGTTACTTGACCATATAACTCCAGTGGGATGTACACTAAGAACAACAACAACAAATCCATTAGAGCTGTTTTTCAGTAATCATATTAGGGGTAATTTTCTATATATATTCAGTCACCATAGTGGGTGATGTGGGATAAAAGCAAATGAGAATTTATATTGATATTGTTGAGAGGTAGGATTTTCAGTGTGAGTAGAAACATAGAGATCCAAGATGGATAAGGTTTTGCAGAAATCCTGCAGTCCTGATTTGAATAGGAAATACTGTATGAACTTACATTGTGTAAGCTCCATTCATTAAAAAGGCTTAAAAACAACGATCACCCTGGTAGAAATGAACGAACCTAGTGCCCTGATTGAAGTTTCTAAATAACCTCAGTTTAAAAGAATGAGGACTCCATGAAGAAATGGCTGATTGCCCGTTCCAAAACAGGAAATGTACAAGATGAGCTAAGAACATCTTGTTATAGCAGAAAGCAAGAACTATCAAAGACTGATAACAACACCGTGTCAGAAGAGCAAAGAAGCCAACTCAGTTGGCCAAAGTGGAACAATGTGGGCATCAGTAAGGATTGAAATACGTTAAATATGTTTAAATCCAAAGTTCAAAATAATAATAACAATAATAAAACCTTCCTTAGTCATGTTTGTTGGATGCTTGAGAACTGAGTTATTATTTTTTTCTAATGGTAATTATAATAGAGAAAATCAAGTTATTTCTCCTTTATTTATACAAATTATACTTCAGGGTAACTAAAAATTGATGTGGGGGACTTATTCTATTTCAGCTATAACGAAAAAAGGAATGATTGCTTTGTGTATTACCTTTTTGCAGCCTCTAAATTAATGGATCCAGGCAAAGCTCATGAAGGACTGTTTATATCACAAAGAGAGGCAACCAGGCATTCCATTGTCGACCAGGCATTCCATTGTCAGAAGTACATGGCAAAGTCTGAGAAAGAGTCGTAGCAAAAAAAAAAAGCAAACTCAGTCTAATCAAGTGTCTAGATCTCATTACTGGTGTATGGAAATACAGGGAACAGAGAAACATTCAGTTTCATTATGGAAACACAATCAGCAAAATCCAGACAACAGGAAACTATAGGATAAACAACCCAGTTTATTCAACAACAGTCAAAATTATAAGGACATTTTTTAAAAAGAGAGAAGAGGAGGAATTGGTAGACTGAAAGAAACCTAAGAGGCATGTCAATCAGTCTCAGGATAAGGACCTACCTGATGCTGTGTTTCCCGCGGGGCCTGGTATGACTGGTGCCTAACACCTCACTGATGATGCCCACAGATGGGCACGCAGTGCTCTCTTCGCACTGCTGCTGACGGTGAAATAACATGTTGCTCTTTTCTCTGAATTATAGATTACAGACTCTAGCCTTTGTGATTAGGTACACATTAAAATAAATTAAATATTTACTAGGTACACATTAAAATATTTACTGTTACTGCTTTATTCTAATTTTACTGATGTGGTTAAAAGCCACAGATTGCTGGGTTTTATTATCTTCATTTAAAGTCTTTTACTGAGTGATATGCCTTTAATTACCCATACTTAGTCTGTTATTGATTTCAGATAGCAGAACTTGTTGCCACTGAATTTTTTGACCAAGGAGACAGAGAGAGAAAAGAACTCAACATAGAACCCACTGTAAGTATGAGACGTTGTTGGTAGGAATTATTCATATACATGTTTTTGTTGTAGATTCCTTTTTGTGCTTCTGTGAGATTTTAGGAAGACGATTTCTCATCTTTTATAAAGTCCTTTTTCTTACCTGAAGAATTAAACATGTTCATTATAGAAAACATGCAAATAACAGAGGACAGAAAAGACTCTGAGTTATCAAATCATACCTACTTTTTGTAATTTTTTCCATTTATATATCATAAGCCACTTTTCATTCTAACAGATGCTCTGTCCTATATACCATTTATAATGGTTACATGAAATAGTGCATGCATGCTCAGGCATCTCCAACTCCTTGTGACCCCATGGATTGTAGACTGCCAGGCTCCCCTGTCCGTGGGATTAGCCCAGCAAGAATACTGGAGTGGGTTACCATTTCCTCCTCCAGGGGATCTTCCCGACCCAGGGATCAAACCCTCGTCTCCTGGGTTTCCTGCATTGGCAGGCAGATCCTTTACCACTGAGAAGTGGTAAGCCCCACATGAAACAGATGCAACCAGTATTTACTGTTTGGTATAGTGTCTGTAGAGTTTACTATTACAAATAGCACTTTGATAAACATCTCTTGTTAAATATTTATATACTGCATTTTTTGTTTAGGGTAGGTAGGGAATCTCGAATACAAGAAGATTCTTCTCAAACCACTGAAGAAGTTTTTCCTGAAATGGATGAATTTTAGTTTTTCCTGGAAATGGTGCATAGAGTCATTCTTTTACTCAAATGAACATTTATTGAGCCCACATTAAATGGGCTGAGGTTACAAGATGCCCCTCCTCTGCGTACCATTCCCTCTGCTTTACTCCTAAGCCTCATCTGGGCACACCCTATGTCTCATTAGTCTTTTGCAATTGTTTAGTCTCCGAGACACAGTAGTCGGGGCTTCCCTAGTGGCTCAGTGATAAAGAACTCGCCTGCAGTGCAGCGACACGGGTTTGATCCCTGCGTCGAGAAGATCCCCTGGAAAAGGAAACAAGAACCCGCTCCTGCATTCCTGCCTGGAGAATCTCATGGACAGAGGAGCCTGGCAGGCCACAGTCCATGGGGTCACAGAGTCAGAAATGACTGAGTGACTAACCACACACACAGTAATAGGCTTGTTAGAAGCGCGGAATCCTCTCAGAAAATGGTGGGTAGTGGAGTGATGGTCACCGCTAACGGAGAATCTGCTTCATTCTAAACAAGCACTGAGACAGACTCTGCTCCCCTCAGAGGTGCTGGCTTTGTCTGATGCCCAGGCAGGAGCTCCTGAGAATAAGCAGCAATGGTGTCTGCGTACTTTTCACTCAGAGAGCTCTCTCTACGAACTGAACTGTGATCGGCCGTGGCCTCAGTGGTGTCTTTCATGAAGCGGAGAGTGTGTGACTCCACATCAGTAGACAGTCAGAAAGCATGTGCGTTCTCCAGACACCTGTCAGCAGTGGACTCTGGTCAGGGCCCAACTCTAGGTCACCAGCTGATCTGAGGCCAGTGATCAGTTCTGGGGGTCACGCAGGGACAGTCACTGCCCCGGTGAACGAGAGAGGAGCATGGCTTGGTGCAGGGGGGTTGGAGCCTCCAGAAGGTGAAGGGGCAGGTAGGCAGGTATCTGGCCTTCCTCAGCTAACCGAGGGATTCATCGTTTCAGAGCCAACTTGTGTTGCGTTAAGTAAATGCAGATCTATGTGTGTGTTTCTGTGTTTTCAGGATCTAATGAACCGGGAGAAAAAAAACAAAATCCCAAGTATGCAAGTTGGATTCATAGATGCCATCTGCTTGCAACTGTATGAGGTATTTACTCTGAAAACTTTTAGAGTTTTGAGTGTGTTATGAAGTAAATTGAAGCAACACATCAGGCACATATTTTTTCCTTCTTAATCAAGAAACTAGAAGTAAAATAATCAGGACATTTCTTTTACTAATGAACATGCTGTTTGTACTGAACAAGGAACACATTTTATATTTACTATTTCTCAAAAATGTTAATTCACTGATGTGTAACTACCTAGTGAGTGCCTACTGCATCCTAGGTGCCAGCAAATTCATGTAGCGAATGCTGAGAAAAAGTATGTGCCAGTGCTACACTCAAAGGAGGTATATTCTGCATACTCTATGTTAGCATATTCTTTTTAAGGCTAAATTTTGGCCTAAATAAGGAAAAATAGTTATCTAACTTCTTCTCATGCTGTGACTTTATTACTATTAAGAAAATTTTTATGAGGATTACAAGAAGGCAGCTAGGAAAATATTGCAGGTTCCCATTTTCATATGCTTATTAGTTTGGGTTTTTTAAATTATTCTCCCTAACATATCCAACTGACTAGTTTAGATGTTATGCCCCAAATACAGAAAGTAGATGCTGTCTTCATCTTTATACATTTAAATAGGAAACTGTCTTAAGTTTAAGTATTTGGGGAAAAAAATATTTATCATAGGAGGAATCATAGACTGCCAAGACCGGAAGAAAGGCTAGAAATTTTTTAATCCAGACGTTTCACAGATTCAGTCATTGAATCTGTAAAAAGTCCATCTTCCAGGGAGATGGGATGCTTGTCCCAAATAGGTAGGTAAGTGGGAGAACTGTGTTTAGAGTTCAGTTCTCAGCCTGGGCCCAGGGTTCTAACCATCCGATGAACTGAGTAAAGAAGCTGTGGCTGATGAGGAAGAAAAGAGGAGGGAGGGCCAGGAGAGACAGCAAAGGAAAACAGGACGAAAGTGCGTGTGAGGCCCTGGCACCCCTGCCCTCCCTACTCGGCAAGCTGGCTGTTTACTGCTCTGCAGAAGCGCTCCCAGCAGTCTCTCCATCATCTCCAAACACTCATCCTTTCTGTAACAAATGCCTTCCTTATGGATTGGATTAAGAGCTCCTCAGCTGCAGATACTAATGTCTCTCTTCATTTTTTTCCCATGCCCATAAATATAGTCAAATCACTCATTATAAATTTTATCCTTCTACATTTCCTATTCATTTTATTTGAATCTACAGTTAAATTCTATGTGATATAGACAGGCATTTTTATTATTATTACAGAAGTAATAGGTTCTTAGAGAAAAATCAGAATAACAGAGAAGCAAAAAGATTAAATCACTTATAATTCTACTACTATGTGATAACCACTGTTATTTTACTATGTATTCTTTATGACATTTTCATATATTTTTCATTTAACAAAAATTGCTCTTTGCAGTCTGTAACAGAATGTACATCTTTCTGTTTCAAATGTGTTTTCTATGACAGCTTTAATGGCTGCAGAATAGTAACACAATATTTCTAATCCCACTGTTGGGTATTTAAGTCAATGTTTGTCTATGACACAGAAATCTAAACTGAACGTTCTTGTAAGCTGAATATTTATGGAGCTATAGTTGGTAAATAATAATGCCATATAGAGTTTAATCTTTATTATAATCTTGAATAAAAATCTAAAGTATATTGGATAAAATTATTTTATAGAAAATCCCAGAAACTAAGTGCCTCCCCATGAAGTCAACACTTAGGGAGAACCATCTGTATATATAAAAGCAAATGGATTATTTCTCTGCAGAGCCGATTCCACACAGATCTGTCTCCACTGCTTAATAATGTTACATTGAAATGTGTGCATTTGCTCTTTGTCTCAGCATGTGTTGCCCGTCTGTATAGCTTAAGAGGAGTCATTCATAAATGATCTGTGATCACAGCTCTGTGAGAACAGTCTGTGAGAACCCCAGGAGTGGGTCTGCTTGTGAAGTGAATGTGTGATGTGACCCTCTGGGACAAGCCTGGGGAGAGGGCTTATTTCCCAGTCGCCATCTCATTGCCGGCTTTCTTTCTCCTTCTTTAGGCCTTGACCCATGTGTCGGGGGACTGTTTCCCTTTGCTGGATGGCTGCAGAAAGAACAGGCAGAAATGGCAGGCCCTTGCAGAACAGCAGGAGAAGACACTGATCAATGGTGAAAGCAGCCAGACCAAGCGGAACTGAGAGGCCTGTTCACACAGAGCTGAAGTTGACAGATGGTGTTTCTGCAGTATGCCTAGTTTTGCTATACACTGTACAGATTTGGTGTATACTTTGCCACTGCTGTATTTTTATTTTTGCACAACTTTTGACAGCGTAGCATGAAATGTTTTTAGAGGACTATTGCATATTTTCTGTATATCTGTTTTATGCCACTGAACTGAGATTATCAATGACACCCACTCTTAGCACATGGATAAGAGCACTGTTTGTAATATTGTGTGTACTGCGAGGTACACGTTGCATTCTTGCACGGAGGCTTTTTTTTTCCCCTGGGGATTTTAAATAATTGGTTTTGTGTTTTCTGAATTATCAATCTTTCAAGAATGTTTGGAATCTTTTCTTTCTTAAAAGTAATCTGGGAGAAAACTGAATATATTCGGTGACATTTACAACCTTCACAGAATAGAGAAAAATGTTAGCTTTTAAAGCTTGTTGGATTTTAAAAGGAATGGGCTATATTTTTCAACACTGTATTACCTTAACGAAAGAAAGTTAAAAGTCTAAACAAATGGAAAGTACTATAAGGCAGTATTGTAAAGAAAAGGCATTACTGAATTAATTTGGTTTTTTTGTTGTTGTTAGAGAACAGGCAAGAGAGAAATTTCTTATTTCAGTGCAATACATCTACCCAAAGGCTACCCGTAAATGCTCGCTTCGACCTAACAGACCTGGTGGAGAGCAGGAGCCTGGGAGGAAGACCCAGCCCCTGAGTCCCGGGGGATGAGCAGCTGCAGAAATGGAGCGGCCAGGACAGCTCCACGGAAGACACTCCTGACAGTCAGGGGGTCACACACTGAGCTTCCTTTTCGCTCACCTCACGAGTCATAGTTGTAAGTCAACACTCTGAAACCCAACAAGGAAGAGAGAGAAAGTGATCACGGGCGCACAGGCCTGAGGTGAGCTGTGACCAGTCAGGATAAGGGGGTATGCGCCCTAAACTGGCCCCTGAGCTCACACTTGGTAGGATTTATTTCTCAGAACATTTATTTCTAAGACATTTAGAAAACGCTAATGTTTTCTTAGAACTTGAGCTCATTTAACTGTATTCCCACTGTACATATGTGCCCCTAAAGACACTTGTATTCCATATGAGAGAAGTAGATAACGAACTGAGAACCTGGTTCGGGAAAAGAAAATCTGCTCTAAACTTTAGTGTGGTAATGTTTAGACTTGGGGAAGAATAGGAAAACAGGCATTTCATCTGTTCACGTCCTTCCACATCCCTGAAAAAAGTCTGAGTTTCTATCACTGGTTTGGATAGAAAAGCTTTTGGGGATATGATAATGAAGCATTCTAGAAGAATTTTCACTAAAACATATTTTCCATTTATATGGAAAATAAAATAGGATGTTTTTCCCTAAGCATCCTAAAATTCAACATGTAAGTTTGTAAAATTCTAAGTGTGTATATGCATCTTGACATAAAGTAATTTTATTCTTACCCTTCAGTTTAAACAAAACCAAACAAAACAAACTGTATTGCCATCATTTTGCAGTGGTAAGGGAGAGTCTAGAAGGGCATCAGTTGTTTAATGCTGTATGTATTACTGTTGTAACACTTGTAGCTTCAGCATGTTATTCTGGTTTTTTTAAGTCATACACATGAGATCTGAAAGTTTGCCTCTTGGTGGCACTGGTGTGTAAGTTACACAGACTGTCACTAACATATCTTCATACCAATATATGCCCATGCATGCATACTCAGTTCCTTAGTACAGAAAAATCATTTGAAGAATAACAGTCTTTTTAGTAACCTATCATTTTACCATACACATTGTGATTTAGTGGTTATGCTAAAATCTGTAGTCAAATATTTCAGCAATTTGTTCAGAGCCTCATGTATGTCATTAAGATTTTTACAGACATAGTAGACTATGTATAGAGAATTTGTATGTACGTCATTTTAACAAGTAAGAGGACATATTTAGAAATTCTTGGTTTACTTTTAGATAATGGCTTATTTTACCTTACTAGTTTAGAAACTGAAAGAAGTTGGGCAATGCTATGCCTATTTTATCTTTGGATATTTTAGTTCATACAGAAGAAGAGTGCTTCTTGAAGCCTGGTTAGTTGGTTCAAACAATTTTTAACTCTTAGGAAAATCATTCCATACATGGATTAATACCTGGTACATGGGCACAAATTTTGTTCTTATGTGAATATTTCCTTTCCAGTATCTTCTCAAGTTGGGGGAAAATAAATACATATATATATATATATATTCTCTCACCCTACCCTATATTTATATTTCCTGTAACTAGCAAGAAATTTTTCTAGATTAGTTTGCTTTTGTTATACCTGAGTAACATGATACCATTTCATTTCAATTTTCAGCCCCAGAAGTCCCCACTACTTTGCTAAGTTGTGAATGATGTCTGTAAGATTGCCTGCCCAGCCTTATACTTTCACAGGACTGACCTTTGCCATTCACTAACCTGTGTGAACTCTAGTTTAAGTGTCTTAACTGCTGTGAGCATGAACAAGTTGTGCTGTTGAAGGAGTTGTGTTTGGGCTAAGCCTTCCCTGCAGGGAGGATGTCACAGAGGACAGCTCTGTGTCAGACCTGATGGGCCCTGGAGACCACTGTCAGAAATGAGATAGCGGGCCCCAAAGGAAGGTATCTAATCCTATATGTTATTTCCTATGTTGAGTTTCCAAGACTGGGGAGAAAAAAAAAAGTATATTTCTTTGGTTCCTAGTGCAGATCATTAGTTGTGTGAGATTTAGAGCTCTCTGAGCACCTCGCCTCAAGGTACAAACACCACTGATCTCCCTACTACAAATAACAGTCTCCTCCCATAGGAGGGCTGGACAGTGTCCTGGAGATAATGGGCTGCGGGAGGAACGGGTCACAGATACATTCGCACCTAGCTGTGAAGTGCCTTTATTTTCAGCAAAGAGCACAAATGTCAGACCGACTCCAATTTTATGTTCTGTTTCCCTGTGTTTTCCACCAGACTGTACTCCTAAAACTTTACAGGCCATCAGAAGAAATGCTGTTTGTTTTGCTTTACAAGCTTGATTCAAGATGGGACTGGGGGGAAGAGTATAGCTGCTCTCCTCTCCTAGGAATAATTATAGTTAAAACAAGGTAGTGTAACGCAATGCTCAGTATCTGGCATGCCTCAGTCCACCTTTCACTGAGTTCCTGCCACGTCTGGTACTGCACTCACAGTGGAGGCCAAGCAGTGACCTCATGGAGTTCCTAAGTCTCTGCAGGGAGTGCTGGAAAAGAGACTTACCAGCTTCTGATTCTGCCGATTTAATGTGAAAATAGAGGGTACAGTTATCACTTTCACTTATAACATATGTGTTATAGTTTTTCAATGACCTTCTTTACTTGGAACTTCTTAAGAATCCCTCAGTGAACACCCTGTCTTCTTATAAGTATGCATCACTTAGCCTGTTGATAGCTTAAAGAACACATTATGTAAGTATGGAGTCATATATTCCACTATATGGATTATTTTTCCATGTGCTAGCCAGGTAGAGATTACTCAAGAGTTCTCTCAGACCGTTAAGCTGCACACGGTTTTGGACCCCTTCTGCTCCACCACAGGGAGCGAGGAAGAAAGTATTAAAGCTCACTTTGTCCTTCCCATATGCTTCTCAAAAGCCTATGTAAACATGTCTTAATGAATGTTGTTGAAAGCCATGTAAATAGTTAAAAATATAAATTTCTAATACAGTTTAAGGAAAGAAAAAACTTATGAATCATCACTAGCCACTTAATATCTATTTCTTATACCTTTTCAATACATTTGAACAACTATATAGTTTCTAGCACTATTTTTGTACTAGGATAAAGAGTTATTACTATGTATATTATGTTTAGCATTTAAGTCATTTAAAATAATTGTGAATGTTGGTTTCTTGTCTTTCCTCTCCCCCACCATGAAAACCATTTCATATGACTTTGACAAAATCACTTTAAAGGAACACTTACCCACCTGTGATGCCAATGATAAGGGTGGTTTTTCCACTGTGCAGGCTCATCACTTGTCAGCTGTTTCCTCATTTTGCCATGCTGTGTAAAAATAAAAAGAAGAATTAACAAGTAAGTATAGTACTGTGTGATTCTTACAGGACTTTGAATTTTAGGTGAGGAGAATGGGCCCAAGAGTTTGAATGACTTTAATCCACAGCTAACCTGTGGTCCTATTAGCTGGGGGGGGGGGGGGGGGTGTGGAAATGTGGTCTAATAAACTCCTTTGTTCAGCCGAGACACCCGAGTAAAATAATCTTTTTGTTAATATCCTTTGCTACCAAGTGGAGGCCAACATTTTCCATACACCTCAGCATTTCAAGTCTCTAACAACAGAGACAGTAACTGTTAGCATCTTCAGGTTGCATGAGGAACTAAGGCTTAGGAATTAAAGACTAGCCAAATGGCATGAGTTGGATGTGAGCCCAGACCTGTCTAGTTTGAAAGCAGATATTTATTCCACTTAGTTCTCTTCTCGAATTTTAATTGTAAAAGGTCCCGAATCCACTCTTAGTGGATCAAATGGGTTACCTAGAAGCATGAGATACAAGATTTCCTGCAGATGTGGTTTCACTGGGACTTTAGAGTTAACATTCCTTTGGTTCATCTGGTAATAGCTAATGCTATGCCGTCACAGAAGCCCAGGTACCACTGTGCTTCAGTGCTACTAGTCTAGAGGTGTGGAGGTATAATTAAAGGCAGTACTTCTGATTCGTTATTCAGTTTTGCCACTAGACAAGCCCTCTCATGTTGAGCACAGAGCCTCTAGTCTGTGCCTAATTCACAAAGCTAAAGACAAAAGTAAAATGAAAGCTCATGTAAAACAGTATTTTAGATAGTCTAACCACTAGATAGCACCATAATTTCAGTTGTATTTATTGAAGTAATCTTAACTGGGTACAATGAATAAACTGCTTTTAAAAATATTTTTACCGGCTAAAGAAAGACAGGGCTCAGTTGATAAGGAATCCGCCTGC